ATCATTTTCAATAAAATATTTATTTCCATATACGAAATTTACAGAAGAGACATAATTTGACGTATATATAATTAATTTCACCTATACGTGAAAATTGGAATTATATATCTTTATATATATAAATAGAATAAAAGTTTAACTATAATTTAATATTATATATTAGATTAAATTTAGATTACATTTTACGTTATATTATTCAAGTGAATATTATATATTAAATAAATAACTTTTCACACAAAGTTTGACATTATAATTTCGGGAAAATTTAAATAAATAACAATTTTGAAAATAATTAAATCATGACAATATAAACATAAACAATTTAAATGTCTTAAATTCAGTCAATGTGATTGATATGCACAGTAAAAAGAAAATCTTATTTTAAGATGAGTCTTAAAATTAGCACTATTTGTTATAATGGAAATTGCATTGCGTAAATTCAGCAAAGATACCTTAAAATTGTTGAATCTTAAAATAAGACATCTTTTCTGCCTGAAAATAAGACTTCCTTTTTAATGTGTAAATTCAGCACATTCAAAGTACTAAAAATCAGAATTATAGAAACACAATAAAAAGAGAATCTTATTTTAAAGGGATAAAAGAAGTCTTATTTTAAGATCCAACATTTTTAAGAAAGTACATATTGAATTTGTGAAAAAAATTATAATATCTGTTATTTTTATGAGCTGAATTTAAGACAATTTTTTGTCAAAACCAGAGTTTACTACACTTTTATAAATTAAAACTCAAGAGGATCTGAATTTTACGTATATCTTAAATTAAGATTTATGAACACCTTATTTTACCCTATATTTAGTTTAATTTTTAAGATTTAAGACTAATAATATAAGATTTTTTTACTTACATAATTAATTAATCCTACGTCTTAAAAATGTTCTAACTTAAAGTAACATCTTTTTTTCTCTTAAAATAAAACTACAGTTTTACAGATAACAGAATAAAGAGAATTTCTTTTTTTAAAGGAAAAGGAGTGTTTTCGAGCGTTGTAACATTTTTAAGATAGCCTTTACAGAATTTCTTGAAATGTATGAATATTAATTATTCACTTGTGTTGAATTTAAGATAATTATAAATCTTAGAACTATCAGCTCGTGCTGAAATTAATACAAAGCTTTTTTAAATTAAAATTTTTAATTTCAGATTTAATATTCAAGTTTCAGATTGAAATTAACCTTATTTTTAGGGATAATTTATTTTAAGTCACATCTTAAAATAAGATTTTCCATATTTAAAAGTGAATCTGAACATGTAGTTAAAAAATGAAAAACTAAATTTAAAAATATCTTCTTGTTGCCTATTTTAATATTTCGCATACATTTTATTTTTAATGTTAAAATATAATACTCTTAACATAAGACAGAGTAGAAATCTTAAATTAAGAGTTATTTTTTATTTTAAGAAGTGTTTCTTATTTTTAGAGGTTCTTCTTAATTTAAGAAGAATTTGTTATTTTTATTAGAACTATTTCTTATTTTAAGTTTTGTTATTTTGTTTAAAAATGTATTACTTATTTTTAGAAGTATTTTTTATTTTCAGTAAGTAAGTTTTGTTGTGAGAAGGTATTTCCTAATTTAATACAGAAAATTAAAAGGCATTAAAATAAGCTGCAACGCTTTTTATTTTAATCCAATTTTGCTTATTTTAATCCATTTTGGTATTAAAATAAGCAAAATTGGATTAAAAGCTTATTTTAATGCCTTTTAATTTTCTGTGAAGAAGTACTTATATTTCTTATTTTCAGAACTATTTTTTGTTTTCAGAAGTATTTCTTAATTTAAGAAATACCAATATTTTATGTTTTCAGAACTATTTCTTATTTTAAAAAGTATTTTAGAAGTTTTCAGTTTTCAAAAGTACTTCTTATTTTCCGAAGTATTTCTTATTTTAAAAAGTATTTCTTATTTTAAAAAGTATTTCTTATTTTTAAAAGTATTTCTTATTTTTAAAAGTATTTCTTATTTTTAAAAGTATATTTTTTATTTTATGAAGTATTTCTTATTGTAAGAAATATTTTCTATTTTACAAATATTATATATTCTCTAACTCCAAGAATAAAATACAAGCGAAATATTCCAAAATACACACTAAGAAGATATTCCTAATTCCTGATAACGTTTTTTCATCATAAAAAATTACAAATTCATTTAAAGAGTACAAGTTTACAAAATACTCGAAAATTTTTCCTCGCTTCTTCGGAATCATAAATACACATATTAAATAAATGTCCATATTGGTAAATAAACTATATACATATATGTTTTACACATATGTATAAATATATATATACATGTAAAGTATGCAGAAATAGTGCTCGGCCATAAGTCGAGTATATATATGGGATGGGGGGGGAGGGGTGTAACATACGTGGGTACATATTTGTTCTATATATATACAGCAGGATATTAGAGAGAGAGTAAGCAGGAGAAAATATATGAAATAATGAAAGGGTGGTGTTTTTTTTTTGTGTATTGGTATTGGTACAGGTATATTATGAGTCAGAACCTGACACAGCACAAACAGGTGCCGGTACTACTGGTACTCGGGGTGCTGCTGTGCTACCCTTTTGCTACCAATGGCTACCACCACCAGCAGAGCTTGCAGTCCACCACCAGAAGCACGGCAGGGGGACGGATGTTCCCAGGAGATTATTGATCGGCCGCGCAGATACTTCCCCTTTGACGTCGATCGACGCCGACGACATGGATGAACCTGGCCTCAGCGCCATTTGTCCTCCCACTTTTTTTTTTTTTTTTTTTTTTTATACACCACAAAATGGTCGACAATTACATATACTGTTATTAAATATTTCAAAATTTATCATTTCAATTAATTATTTATAAATCGTCTTCAATCTCTTTGAAATATTTTTCTTCGATTAAATTATATATATTTTATAATTGTGAATATTAAGAATGTGGATTTTTATAAATATTTGCGCACGAGAATCATATTTTAAGAAAGAGAAAAATTATTTTTTATAATAATTGCAAAAATGAAGAAGATAAATACACTCAGAGAAATGGTATATTTGTCTCCGAGCCTACTAACTCATTTATTTGTTGCAAATATATTTCATTTCATTGAAATAAAAAATTTATTTGAGCCAAAGAAAAATTTATTTCTGACAAATAAAATTTTTATTTACGCCAAATAAATAAGTTAGTAGGCTCTGAGACAAATATACGTTTATTTAACTCAAATATATTTTATTTGATTCAAATAAATCATTTCTCTGGGTGTAATTATTGAGGAACGCAAATTTTCAAAAGTTGGATAAATCCATGTTTCCAAAAACATGGAGATATTTTAAGGGCCTTATAAATCGTTCTGTCACTGTTAAATTTAAGAAAAAAAAATTATTAACAATTATCAATTTAGAAACTTTTTGACATTATCATCATGACAATTTTTTATTGAAAAAAATTACGAAGAACATGTAAATCACTAAAATAAAATGTCTTGAATTCTCGAAATAAGTATATTTATCAGATTTTGATAACTTGTTCCTCAATTTATTTTCTAATTCATAAAAAATGATGATTTTTTTTTTTTTGTAATGTCGATAGATTTTCTTCTTGAATTTAAATCTTTTAATAATGAACAAATTTTCTTGAAAAAAATGACAATAGGTCACCATGTGGAAAAAGCAGAGTTATGATGTGGACGTATTTCAGTGGATTGCTCGAATAGAACAAAGAGGGGACATATATGGACTAAAGAACAAGTATATAGTTTCCGGGAGGGTTGAGGATTCATCAAATATTCAAGAGAATTGATCTTCCCTCAAATGCAGCAGCAGCATTGCGCTCCTACTGCGCACAGTAGCAATAAAACCTCTTTTAAATCTCGTCCAGTTAAAAAAAAAAAAAAAAAAAAACCCCATTTTTCAAATACAAAAAAATTAGAATCTTTGAAAAAAATTTCTCAAAACAATTTTTTCAAGAAACTAAAAATTTTCGAATAAAACTAAAAAAGAAAAATTTTAACACACTTTAGAAATTAAAATAGGCACAAGTTTTATAAAAAGAAAAAATATGTTCTCTTTTGACATTCATGACCTTAAGTACAATTGGCTTTACATTTAATTATTTATTATGCATAAGGTGAAGAAACTTTTTAATCTATAAATGTCTATCTTAATATTATTTTTATAATTTATTTAATAACCTCCCTTACAAAACTAAGTATATGTAATGTGAAAAATTAATTTGACTATTAAGAAAAAATATTTCATATGTTTCAAAAAAAAAAAATTATTTTTAAATTAAATTTTACAGAAAGTCAAATAAAAATATACCACACTTTTCAGAAAAAAAAGTCGATGACTTAATAATAATAAGTATAATCCGTTTCAGAGAATAAATCTCAAAAGATTTTTATCAGTTAATTTACCCTTCACCAGAAGTGAATTTTCAAGGACTGTTAAACTATTTACAGAACGAAAAAATGTTTTTAAAAATATTTTTTTTTTAAATAATAATTAATTTTTATAATTTTTAGTGTATAAAATAAATTAATTTCATAAATAACAAATTTTGTTTTATAAAAATAGAGAATGACAAAATTTACGCAAAAATAAGCAATAGTTTATTTAATGCGTAATAAAGTAAAATCATGATAAAAACATTAAAACGCAGTATTGAAACCAATAAAAAAATAAAATAAAAAATATTTTTTTAAAAACATTAATGTTTGTCGGATTTTATCAATTACACAAAACACGCGTTGACATACAATTAAAATTCAATAATTCCTTTGTTACTGCAATAACAAATTTTTGCATCCAAAACGTAACTAGTAACAATTTTCATTATAGTTAAATTTTTATTTTTTTTAAAGAATCTAATACGCGGCTATGAATCATCGAAACAAAAGACTGATTATTAAAATACAACTCTAAAAGTATTATTAAAAGATTTCGAAAATTAATTTCTTCTAATAAATTCTATATTCATAAATAGTATTTATTAAATACTTACTTCTTTCAAAAAAAAAAAAAATTATTGATTTTTCCTCACGTTTTACGTTTAGCGAAATCGCGCACTAGAAAATCGTTGATACCACACACACATTACATTGCAAAATTTATGTAAAATGAATTTATCTTCAATTTAGGAATAATCGAATGACTTTTGTTTTTTTCTTTTAATTAATTAAAAAATAATTAATTTATTTTAATAGAGAAAGATGTATATATATTTATATATATATATTTAAAAATTAAGAAAATTCGAACTGAATTTACTGTGACCGCTACCGCAATCGTCAGAAATCACTATTAGCACTATTCACCCGCCATCCTCGTTTACCTGGACAAGTGGTATCGTGACTACCTGCAGGTGTACCGCGTCGGTAAAACTATCGATCGAACTACCCTCCACATATTCACTTTTTATTTTCTTCTCTTATCCAATGTCTTTCTTTGACAATTATATAAAATTTAATTTTTCTAATTTATTGTCTACAAAGAATTTTTTTAAATAATCAGAAATAATAATAATAAAATAAAAATTCTCGCTGATAAGACAGGTTTTCTAGAAATAAAATGATCCATTATTACAATCTTATTCTATTGTGTTTATTGATATGATACACACAATAATCTAAGAACAGTCACATTTTTCTTTCTTTTCATTTTTTTTTTTTTTTTTTATTCGTTCCTTTATTTGCGTTCACGATAACTTGAACATCAACCCGCAGGTTTCAGTATAAGTCAACGCACTATTGTCTAGATAAAAGGATGACCGAGAACTGTCTCAAATATACAATTCAAAATTTAATTCAAGGTCCACAAATATTTTTTTTTGCAAAAAAATTCTTTGAAAATTAAAACATCTCTCAATGCATTAAAAGTGTAAATTTCACCTCCAAAGATTTGCAACTGCAAGAAGCAAAATTTCATTGTAGAAATTTTTTTTTTACTAGTCTAATAGAGAAATGTGAGAAATGAATATTAATTACATTACAATGATTTCTTCTTTAATTTTTTTTTTTTTGCATAAAACGTTGGTGTAAGCTTCATCTATAATAAAATTGTCAGAACTATATTTTTTCATGATCCATATTACAAAAACATGAGAAGTTTTGGTTTATCCAAAAGTCGATTGAAATTTTGCCAAAGGGATTATAATATATTTAACCTTGAAGGTGAAAGAAAGAAAGATAGAAAAGAGGATTTTACACAATGATGTGTGCTTAATAGTGATTTTGGTAGGAAAAGTATTCTAGAAGTGGAATTTTCCACTTCCTTTTTCTAATTATATATCATGATTAACAACCCCCCTACTCGCTATAATTACGAGTTTTTATGTACGACACGAAAATACAGTTCTACACATTATCTCGTCGTCGGACTATCTATTCTACAAACGAAGCAGCTTTGCTCCCCTACGTGTAACATTAGCGGTGGGGGTGTGACAAAATGCAGGTTCGAAGCAACGAAAGAATTACTTCAATTTGTTATATCTTTCTCTCTTTCCAATTTTTTTTTTTTTTTTTTTAAGGCTGATTAGTGGTAAATGGTGTAACGCCATTATTAGCCATATTGTCCATAACGCTGCAAATATAAGCAGCCACATCAATTGATGCTTCTTCTGATTTTCTTATAAATGGATGCTCCAAAAGCTTATTGTACTTTGGACGTTGAGTTTCCTCTTTAATTAAGCTATTGGAATAAAAAGAAAAAAAAATTATTAAAATACTATTATTAAATACTATATTATTATTAATTACAAATCAAATTACCATGTGTTTACAAAGTGAACAAAATCCATAGTAAAATGGTTTCCGTTTTTATTTGGTGTTAATCTTGGTGGATCACCTTGAACCACTTGATAGAGTTGCTCAAAAACAGAATTCCATTTTGGATAAGGAAAATATCCAGTAGCAACTTCCATCAATGTAATTCCGAGGGACCAAACATCGCTCCGAACATCGTAACCACGTGCTCTTTGAGGATCTATTCTCTCGGGCTGCAATGATAAATACAATATCAAGTATTTATTTAATGAAGAAATTTTATTTTTTTAAATTGTTAATTAACGTACAGCCATGTAAGGTCTGCAACCTGCGTCTCTGGTCCGAGCGATGGAGTCAACTAATTGTCCAGAAATGCCAAAGTCACAGAGCTTAATATTTCCACGACGATCTAGCAAAATATTACTAGGCTTGACATCCCGATGAATGATCCTTAATTTTTCCTTAAGGTAATTCAACGCCTTAACAGTGGCAACTGTTATTTTTCCTAAGATACTCTCCGGTATCCTGTCGTTCAACCTCTCATAGATGAATTTATAAAATTTATCAAGAGACGTGTCCATTAGTTCCATGCAAATCCAACAGTCACCCTATAAATGATTATTAATTAAAAATTCGTAAAGAAATTATTATATAAATAACTTCTTGATACTACTTGAATAGAAAAAAAAAAATTCGATTACCTCTTTAAACAAAGCCCCGTAAAATTGCACAATGCAAGGACAATCATTGGATTTCATCACAACTTCTAAATCCATTAATAATTGTTTTTGCTCTTTTTCATCGACCGTCGAACGAATTCTCTACAATAAAACAATAAACTGTAAGTTTTATTAAATTTTATTTTTCAAAAAATTTTACCTTCACAGCCATGACGGTGTCGCTTATCCTATGTATCATCTTATTTACAGTACCAAATCCTCCCCTTCCAATTTCACCCAAATCTTGAAGATCTTCACTGGTAAAATCGTATACAGTATCAGGTGATAATTGCAATTTTCCTGTACTTTGCATTGATTGACACATTCTTAATTTTTCCCTAAAAATTAACAAATAAAATTTAACAGTTTTTTTTTTCTCTAATTCATTAAAAATGATAAATATATACCTTGCTTTATCAGGAAGAAATTCTTGTGGTTGTCGGGGCCTTGCAGGAAGTTTTGGTAGAGGTAATGGTAAATTCGGACGTGATCTATATAAAAACATATTAATTTTATTATTTTATTTATTAATATTTCAATTAATAAAAAATTAACTCACAAGGGTGGGCATACTGAAGGAGCTGCTGAGTTTGAGAGTGTAGAACTAGTAGAATTAGAGAATGACTTGCTGCTTCCTTGCGTTTGAAAGCTGAGCTTCAATTGTCTTCTTTTTTCTAATAAATAAAAATTATCATAAACTATTCCATAGTTTTAATTTAATTCAAAAAAAAAAAATCTTACCAGACATATCGTTTTGAACGTCGTTATTTGGTCGAAAATCTAACCGTTGAAAATTAAATGATCTTCCAGATCCTACAGGAACAATTAAAATGTCATATTTAAACTTTTCTTTCAATTATAGAAAATAAATATGTTTAATTATTCGTAAACATTATTGAAAACTTCAAAATAATTTTTTAGTAAAATCTTCTATAAAACGAATGTATATAAATTAATTGCAATAAAAATCATTAACTGTCCTCAAAAAAATCAATTTTCAGGTATATTTTTTTTTTACAAAACATTTTGTCAATTAAGAAATAAACGTAATTGTAAATCATGCATCTTTTATTGCATAATTATACAAAATTTGGAAAATATTTCACTGACCTGATGGACTAGATGATCTCCATTGATACCGCATTTGTCTAAACTTTTCTAAATTTTGAAAAAAGGGAAATATAAATATCAGTTTAAAGTTTTCGCAATAAAAAAAAAAATTAAAAAATTTTCCTAGTTTTAATTTGTCAAAAAATAATCGAGTATTTTCTTTGAAGAATTCAGATAATATTTAACAATAATTTTTAACAACGCTGTATTTCTGTGTTATACGTTTATTGTTAGACGTTATTGAAAACAACAAGAATAGTCGTGATTTAGTGAACAGTAAACAATATATTATATATTTTCACAATAATCATATTATAAACGTGAAATGAGCGTGCAACTGTCTGTCTAGAGCAAACAATAATCTGAATTTGAAAAGCAAAACTGATAAAATACATGAAGCAAAATAAAATTAGATAGAAGAAAATGATCGTTTAGTGTGAAAAAAATGGAAACAATTAACAAACATATCAGTAAACAAAGAAAGGAAAAGTATAAAATATCAGCATTAAAAATTGGTAGACATTGGATCCCGCCAGGTTAATCAGTAAGGTTAGAATCGTCAAATTTAGATTTCATGTTGTAAAAAAAGAATAAATAAAAAATTAATGTACCCTGATTGATCTGATTTGAGGAGTTTCCTTGATTTTCAGCCATCGTGTAAGTTGTGTCCGGTTGTTTAAAGTAGAAACCACTTGTCAAGGCGCACCTCAGGGGCCTTCCTCACAAGGGCTTATCAACTTAACATATGCGTAATATATCGTGGACATTATTTATGAAATTTATCGTGAAACTTATACCAAATAAAAAATAATTTTACAAACTTTAAATGTGAAGCTCTGTATGCCTTGATTTTCGAAGAATTTACACTTAAACACAGTCAATAGTGTGTCGTACGACTTGACTGACAGAACGAAAAGATGAGGAACTAAAGTCAGAAACTTGGAACGCGGAATTAAACACAAGTCCATTTAAAGAGTTTATTGTTATCATTTCTTAAATAATTTTTATTGTGAACATCATATATAAATAATTATTGATATAAATCACATCATAAATTACTATTATAAATTTGTTGAATAAGTTTAATTTATTTATCTCAAAGTTTTATTGGGAGTATTCTAAATGGCATCACTCCGTAATATTATGACACGAGGTTTTATTTATAATCCCTTTAAAGGGTTGGAAAGGTAAACTATTTTGCAATAACTAAAAAATCAATTTAAAACGTGATTTCTTTTTATTTTTATTCATACCAATTTTTGTTTATATACATAGGTACACTAAATTTAAATGGTTACGTTATAAACATAACCTTAAAATACAGGCATAGAAATTTGTGATCCTATTGTTTGTGTATAAATAAAAAAATTTGTTTTACAGGTTGACAATAGTTGATTCTACAAAATATTATAGTGTCTTTCCTCAAAGTTATAAAAAGCCAGTTTTCAAACACGATGAACAATTAGAACTTGAAGAAGCCAAAAAATTAGAAAAACTGTCTCTTCAAAATATAAAACCTGCGTTTAGTGATAACACATGTTCAGAATTTCATGATCCTTTAGCGCGGTATGATGAGAATATTAAATATTTGTTCCTTTTTTTAAATTAATTACTAAAAATAATTGAATAATTCTTTATAGCAAATTTACAAATTGTATTATGAGAAAAGGAAAAAAAATTGTAGCGGATGATGTATTAAGAAAGTGTTTTACTTCTATGAAAAGGATACAAATTGAACGTTATCATAAAACAAAAAATCAAGAAGAAAAAGAAAAAATTGATTTTGATCCGATAAATCTTCTGTATAAAGCTGTAGAAAACTCTAAGCCAGCTTTAGAAGTCGTAAAAGTGAAAAAAGGAGGAATTAAATACGACGTAAATAAATTAGTTTTATAAATATAATTGTTTTTTGAATATCAAATTAAAATTACAATGTTAATAAAAATTAAATTTTGAAGGTTCCTCACCCACTGGTTGCAAATCGATCAAAAAACTTGGCAATCCGTTGGTTGATAGAAGCAGCTAAAGGAAAAGAGCGTACAATACATTTTTATGACAGTTTAGCCAGAGAGTTAATTAATGCTTCCAATAATACGGTAAAGAAAATTTATTCTCTTAAAATTTTATTTTTTGAAATTTTCATTATGCTTACAAAGATTTTCTCTAATATTTATAGGGAACTGTTGTTAAAAGAAAATTGGAATTACATAAACAATGTGAAGCTAATCGAGCTTACGCCCATTTCAGGTGGACATAAACTATAAAAATGATAAAGAATTATTGATAAATGATAAATTAGAAACTAATAGTGCTTTCATGAAATTTGTAAATAAAACATTTTGTTATAAATCAAAATTCCTTTAGTTTCTTTTTATAATATGATAATCCAATCAAATTTTATTAATTTCATAACATTTATTGTACAAGCATGCATTAATAAATGATATGTCATTTTTAATTAAATTGACAATCATTAAACTTTTCAAATTTATAAAAGATATAAAAAATATATAAAGTGAAAGTGAGGTTTAAATTGCATTTTATATTCACTTATATAAAGTCCCTGAATATTAATCCTTTAGGCAAATTGTCCCTTTTTCAAATAAAAAAAACTTTAAATTACTTTACAATATTTTTTAATATTTTTCAATGCTTGCACTTTAAGGTAAATATACCTTATTGAAAATATAATTATAAAAAAAATGTATCCCATATTTCGACAAGTCGGATGATGTACCAAAAAAGAGAAACATACGAGATCAACAATGATAAAAAGTGTCTCTTAGTTTATAGTAGAGTTGAGAAAACTGTTTTTTTTTACAATAAGTCAATAAAAAATGATTTTTTTCTCGAATACAATAATACTTCGAGTTTCGGCATTGAGTCCAGCACAATATAGTTCACTGTACGCAATCATACAAATTTATCGTTCAATATATTTTCGTAGGTACACACACTCGCGCTTCTTTACATTCATACACTTAACTATATATATATATCGGCAATCACTTATTCACTTTCTTAATTTATTTGATCTTACATTTCTGGTGTCACTGTAATAATTTTATGTAACCTATTATCTTGGTATAAATACGTTGACGTATATTAACCAACAAAGTGACTAATCTGTTCTTTTTAATGTTTTAGAAAATCATAGTCAATTAAAAAATAGAATAAAAACTAGAGATCGATAAATGAAATAAAAAATTAATTTACTTCATTATCGAGATTCGGCTTTTGTTTTAGGCGGTTTAAAGGCTTTCATTTTTTTTGTTTTCTTCTGTTTCGTAGCACCTGAACCAGATTGAAAAGCTTTCCAACTATCTACTCTTAATTGTCTTGATTCTTCGAAATTTTTTTGCCATTCACGCTCCATGGCAGCTTGAGCTTCTGCTGATAATTCTTCTTCTCTTTTTCGTTTCCTCTGTTCGGCATCTCGAGTCGCTAATTCTCGTCTAATTAATTTTTAAACAATTATTAGTAATGAAATTGACTAAAAATATATTTTACTTATTTTATTGTTGAAGAAATTAGACAAACCTTCTACGTTCCATATCTGCGAAGAGTTTCATTGTCATAACCCAAATTGCATGTCTATAACCTTCTTCCGTTTCTTCTTCTAATATTGGAACTGCACTTCCTTCACCAATTTTTCCTTCTTTTTTTAATTTCTTTTTCTTTTCGGTAATCTAAAAATTATAGAAAATTGTATTAAATATCATATAAGAAAAATTAACATACAGATAAATCAATTTTTTATTTACCATGTGATCTGTTCGAGCCTTTGCCTCTTCAATAACATCCATACACTTTGCTCTTGTTTCTTCACATTCCAGGGTTTTCCATGCCTTATTGACAACTATAAATCAAATTGTTAGCATAAAATTGGAAAAGACTTTATCAATTTAATAATTACAATTTACATACTTTCAAAAGCTTGTTGAGATCTTTCTGCATCATCTTGATTTTTATCAGGATGCACCAATATAGACATCTAAAAAAATATTTTATATTATTTGTTTAGTTCTCATTTATTTAAAGTAATAGACGAAATAATAAATTTAGTATTTGATTTCATTTTTGCTATGCGATTGGTTTTTTAAAGGTAGAATACGATATTTCAAAACACTTACACGTCTATATTTTTTCTTTGCTTCTTCTAAAGTAGTGGCAGGATCAATTTGAAGAACTTCAAAAGGATTTAAATTAAAATACGAAGAACCAGGACGTAAGAGCCTTTCTATTTGCTGTTTTGGAGTTAAAACTGAATCTCTTTTTTCTATTTCTTTAACCTGGAAAAAAAAGATATTTTCATAACAAATAACTAAAGTATATTAATAAAAATTCTTCAAAAAATAGAAGAAATTTACATTATCTTATAATTTTAATAGAAATAAGTCAATATTTTCATGAATATAAAAGATAAATAAATTTTCAGGTTAGGCTTAAACATGCATCTTTATCATCAAGGCTATTTAAATAAGATAATTATTTTTCATTAATATTCTTTCACACTAAGTTATATTAAACATTGAAAAATTTACTTTATAATTATATTTACAATCTTCAACAAAAATTTGCGCAATAAACACAATGTAAATAAGAATGACGTTTTCAGAGAGCCCGGGAATGGAACAGGACATTTCATGATTATATAATAAGTAAAATATTTTAAATTTTTCAATAAGTTGAAAAATTAATATTGTTAATTTTTTTATTATAATGATATTTACGTACTTCAGTGTAAAATTCATTAAATTCATCTTCTTTCTTTGTGGAAATTTCAGAAGGCAAACTTGAGTTGGTCGCAGCCATCTTGATTTTTGACAAACTAATTGAAATTGCGATCAGTACCATCTGGTGTATAAAAATTGAAATTTTACTCTGTTGGTACTGATTCTACCGATCATTGATAAATTAGGTTATGTTTGGTTATTGATTTTTTCACAGATCGTGAGTTTGGCTTGTCAGTTGCTGCATTGTTAAAAAGATTTCACTAGGATCAAGTTTTAAATCGACAGTTATAAGTGAATATAATTTATATTCGACAAAAATGAGACCACATCAGTTAAATAGAGATTCAAAAAATTGGTAAGCAAAATATATATTTGTTAATAATCATTGGAAAAAAGTTCAGTATAGTATCTGATACTTTGTGACATTTGGCGGAGAAACAAAATGTTCTAAATTTATAAATAGTTCTTAAACTGATTAAATTTATGCAAGTTTTCAATAATTTCGTTCATTTTCATGTAAAACAAAAGTGCAACAAGCTTTTTGCAACAGAATTTACGTAATTTCGAACAAGAATTTTATAGGTTATGTTTCATAAAAAATTAATGATTCGTACGTATTATTATTATTATTTTTAATTTAATACATTGCAAATTCAACTAAATTTTGACTAGAAATTAATATTATGAGTAGAAAATTCCAGTATTTTGTTGAAGTTATCAAATATTGACGTTTAATTAGCTTTGACATGACACAATTACTTTTTAATTCTGTATGCAAATTATTGAAATTTTATTAGTTTTTTTTATATATACATTATTATATTATATATATATTTAATTGAAAATAAAAGTTCTTTTTTAACTTCAGTTAAAAAATATATAATCTCAATAACATGCATAAACAACATGATTGACATTATTTTATTGTAAAATAATATATTAAAAATGCAATTCTTTTTTTCAATCGAATTTCTTTTTCCAGGAGATGTTTTTATTTTATGTTTTATATTTTTTATACAAAAAATTCGAAACACTAAAACATTTTGATTTATTAAATTCTTTTTTAATTATTAATTTTTACAAAATTTTACATTAAAAATTATATTTAAAAAAATCTCTACACTGAAAAAAAGTCTGCCTGAAGTTTTGAACGTATTCAAATGAACGAAATCATTTTTTTGGTCTAAATTTTTTTTTTAAATTACTACAGCAATGAAAAATAAAGTATATTAAACATTTAAAAAATTATTAATTTATTTTTGTATATAGAAAGCAGTATTTTGTAATATTTTAAGTTAAAAAATTAGTAAACAAATTTTTCATTGATTTGAATGTTTAGAACTTCAGGTACATAAAATTTATGTGATTCTAATAATTGTTTACTTGACTATTATCAAATAAATATTTATTTGAACCAAAATAATTTTTATTTCCATTAAATAAACTATTTGAATTAATAATTTTTGTATTTGAAACAATTAATTTTAATTAATTAACTCAAATAATAATTATTTAATGTAAATAAATATTTATTTGATAATGAACAGTGTGCGATTATTTGAATCAAATAATTTTTTTTTTTTTAGTGTAGGAATATATCAAGTTTTAAATTATCTTTTTATTTGTTATCTCGTTTTTTATACGGAAAGAAAAAAATGTTTTAACTGTAAATTTTCCTAAACTTATTGCTAACTATATAAACTTGCGGGACAGACTTCCTCAAAGTATTTTCATCTTTTATAAGATTCTTAGTAATTTGTAAAATCTAAACATTTGTTAACAGAATGTATCAAAGTGTTTATTTGTAAAATTGATTTTCACACAAGGTCATGTGTGTGTTTTATGTATTTTCCTCATTAGGTATAAAGTTTCTAATGAACCTTCAAATGTAATACAGCATTTCCGCTTTTATTTGAGAAATGTTAATATTATATGTAAATCATGAAAATTGCATATTGAACCTTATACTTTACTTTTAAATTTAATATCTCAAAATAGCACACATTTTCTTAGTTTTCCAGCATTCCATAAAAGAGGATTTTGATTATATTTAGTAAATGATAAATCGTATAATGGCGCATATTCAAGTTGAAATTCGTATAGATTCCAAATCGTAAAATACATTTTACTGTTGTTCATAAAGTGTAAAATTGTACAGTAAACGTTGGCAAAAGAATCATCAAATCAATAGCACTAATTATATTACAGCTATTTTCGGGTAATAAAATTTGGTTAAATTTTAAAAATCACTTGTGAATTTCATCTAAAATTGTAATTGGATCTTTTAAAAAGTTTTCTTTTCTTTTTTTTTTTTTTTGAAATGTACAAGCCTTCTTATCATAGTCGTGCCGCTAATGGTTCTTTTCATTACACACCTCACGCTTGTGTAGGTCTTTAGTAGAATTAGGGGATGTAATAAATACTCTATCCTTAACCTGCTCTCTCGCTCGCACCTAAAAGATCTTTGGGTACCACTACTCAAACTGCCTCAGGCAAGCTTCTTTTCACGTTCTAATTCGCACAGCAACTGCAAATTCACACGATAAAGTCTCCATCGTAAAATTACACCCAGTACGATTCATATTACATTAACTGAGAAAACTTACCATTAAACTGCAAACAGATTTTTCACTTTGTACATTTTCTCAAAGAAATTAATTAATTGGATTTTGTTGCTCTTTAATTATTAAACATTCATGTTATCGAAAAAAGAATTATTCTGGAAATTTAGAATACATGGTATATCTAGTTTAGAATATTTTATATTATACTTAAATTCAGTTTGTAATATTCTTAAAATTAGAATTTATTCTTGGTACTTCTAATTACTTCTTCTTAAGAATATAAATACTAAGAATATATTATAATTTTAAGAATATTACATATACTGAATTCAAGTATAATATATTCTCAAATAGGTGCCAAGTATATCACAGAAAATTAAAAGGCATTAAAATAAGCTGCAACGCTTATTCTTTTAATCCAATTTTGCTTATTTTAATCCATTTTGGTATTAAAATAAGCAAAATTGGATTAAAATAATAAGCGTTGCAGCTTATTTTAATGCCTTTTAATTTTCTGTGATATTTTAAATTTCAGAATAACTTTTTGTTACACTGTTATAGAAATGTTCTGATTTTTCCGTTACAATTAAGATACAAAAGTATTGTAATTTTTAAAATAATGTTACTGATAGCTAGTCAGTTACTTTTAACGAAAATTTGTCAAATGTTACATAAAATTCTAAATGAGTAACTGATTTCTAACACAGAAAATTAAAAGGCATTAAAATAAGCTGCAACGCTTATTATTTTAATTCAATTTTGCTTATTTTAATACCAAAATGGATTAAAATAAGCAAAATTGCACCCTGAAAAAAGTAATCACATATTTAGGTGAAAAATTCTCTTCTAATATCCTCTCTATTTTTCCTCTTAAAACAAAAGTTTTCCACTTGAATGTATAGAATATTTTTATTCTTTGGTGACTAATAATAACACAGAAAATTAAAAGGCATTAAAATAAGCTGCAACGCTTCTTATTTTTATCCAATTTTGCTTATTTTAATACCAAAATGGATTAAAATAAGCAAAATTGGATAAAAATAAGAAGCGTTGCAACTTATTTTAATGCCTTTTAATTTTCTGTGAAAAGAAAACAATTTTTTTGAGGTTCTGATGTCAAAAACATTGAATTAAAGTTAAATAAATAAACAAATCTATTAATTATTGTAAGTAATTAACTATAAATCATTAATTAATATTTAATATTTAATTAAAGATATTTAATTTAGTGCATGATAATAGCTTCTCTTTATCAGTTTATAACCATAATTGTCAAATTATATGCGAGAGGCAATTCCTCTCAAGTGAAGACTATTACTTTTGATACAATATATAAGAGGAAAATATGCATCAAATTAAGAGGAAATCGCAAGAATCAAGATTACTTTTTTTAGGATGTGCATTAAAATAATAATCGTTGCAGCTTATTTTAATACCAAAATGGATTAAAATAAGCAAAACTGGATTAAAATAATAAGCGTTGCAGCTTATTTTAATACCTTATAATTTTCTGTGAAGTTGCGTATAAAAGTAAACTTAAGACATTGTATAACTTAAATTTTTGAAGCAGTTTTGAAAAGAGAGAGCCTTTTGTCTAAATTGTTATTTAGTCGGCAAAATCTCATATTGAAAGGAGTAAAATTCTTTTCTTATCGATTTTTCAAAGTTCTTTTCGATTGATGTCAAATTTATAAGTTTATTTGATAGACCACTAAAATATACACTTATATAGAGTGAAATTATTGTAAAATAATGTAAAACATGTGGCCCCCAGTAGCATCTAAGAGGACATTCTTTGAAATTTCACCAAGTGTATTAAACGGAGAATCGTGCACAACGTGAGATCCGGTAGTCGAGCACGAGAGAGTGTATGGCTCATCGCGATAAAGTTTATACACTTTTGTCATCCATTTTGCATGATTATCGAGGTTTCTCTGCTTCGACTATCCTTGTGTATAATTACGAGAACGCGAATACCATGATAACCTTAGGACCTTTTTTCCCCGTCATTTAATATATACAATAAGAAAACAACATTTAAAATAAAGATTTCTCAAAAAAACATTTCAGTAAATATTTAATTTTTGAGCATTTTTATATAAAAAAAAAAAAAAAAAAGTAGTATTTTAAGTAAACGGCCATTTTGGGTCACCAAAAAGATAAAATATAAATATAATTTATTAAAATTATCATTATAGTCAAATGAAAGATACTTATATAATTATCAGTAGCCTGTCGAAACAAAAATAAAATATATAAAGATAACGAAATAAAATTTGCCAACAAGGAGTTAAATTTCTCTATTGGCAACACTGCGACTAACTTCTATTCAAGAAGCAGGCGCCACAAGTTCGCTTCATCGTTTCCCATCGGGTAATTCCGACTTGATTCGGATTCTTCGTTCTGTCGAGAGTCCAGGAAAGTTTCAACAGTATGTGCCGTGCTACCTCGCCGGCAATTTCATTTCTCTTGGTTGTTATACACTTTCCTTCTCAATCAAATTGCACGAGTGACGAAAAAAAAAAAAACAACAATTCTTTCTCAGTGGTGCAATTTAAAAAATTTTTTGGCGGGAAATTGACATTTAATTTTCATAACCAAAAAAAAAACCCTCGCGTAAATTTTTTCTTAACCACGTGATTATATGTTTTCTCAACAAAAAAAAAAACCGGGAAAAGTTTCTAGAGATTAATTTTAGGGGACTGTTGTTATTTTAAATGAATTATTTTTTTTCCCGAGAAGTGAATAATAAGATGTCAGAAATACCAGGGTCATCTCAACGATATTCCTGGACGACTTTGGGATCTATGCCATTCAGTGTTAATAAGAAGTGTCTCAACTTCTTTTGAGGAACTTTAGACATTAAATGTAATTGCCGTGTCATTGTATATACAAAGAATCCGTTACATAATTCTCACTCTCTCTGTGTGTGTGTTTTTTTTTCTTTATATTTTCATTTTTTATCCAAGGTGGAATCTTTCACAGGTCTTTGGGTGTCGATGAGAAGAAGCGAGTGGGATCGAGTGCCACCAAAGAGCGAATAAAACGAGGTTGCTTGGAACGCGCCAGTCAATTTCGAGACCAGCCAGAGGACGTCCTTGAGATTCTTTGGGAAATTCGAGCGACGACCCATCGCCGATATCACGTTCTACCGCGTAGAAACTACGTCGCTCTCTTGGGTTGGCGAAACAGAAAGAGAGAGAGAGAAAGAGTGAGAGAGAGGGAGTGCACACGTATCACGAATTGACGAGATATCTCGTGAGTTCTCTTCAACACATACGCAGAAAGATTATATACACACACACACATTCTCCAGAGAGCCGTCTTGTGCGAAGTGAGTCGAAAATTCCCCAAGAAGGTTGACGTTATAGACCCGTTGTAGTGATATCGAAAGCTCCGACGAAACATGGCCACGTGACCGTCGCGTAGTTTGTAAACAGTTGGACCACGTGGTTTCCCCCCTTTGTAGTTGAACGCCAGCATCTCTTGCAATCTAATAGTGCTCAGAACTGTGTTTTTTTTGTGTGTGTGTTTTTATAGACGTAATTTAGAAAAGTGATTCAAGTGTTTTTTTTTTTTTTTTCATTTTGCGAATAAGAAAACCGACTCAGGTCGGAAGAAAATAAACGAAAGTGGAGTACATTGAGAGCGAAAAAATGATGGATTCAATGACGGTACCAGTCACGGGATCAACATCAGTTGCGGGCCAGCAAGGTGTGCCCTTTGACCTTGAAAGTGGTTTTGAACCGCAAACAAGAGCAAGATCAAACACGTGGCCATTGCCAAGACCAGAGGGTTATGTTGAGGGTAATGTACCTGGTGGTTCGGGTGGTAAAGAAGGTGTCGAAGGTGGTACACCACCACAACAGGGGCCACTTACACAAGGAGGTGGATTACTTCCGGTTAAAAAGAATTCCTCACGAAGAAATGCTTGGGGTAATTTGAGTTATGCTGATCTCATCACTCAAGCAATCACCAGTGCTCCAGAAAAAAGACTCACCCTATCGCAAATTTACGAGTGGATGGTCCAGAATGTCGCATATTTCAAGGACAAGGGGGACAGTAACAGCAGCGCCGGATGGAAGGTAAGATTTTCAATTATATATATAAATATCTTTAGATTGAAATTCATCTAGATTTTTATTGAAAACATTTGGTTCAGCAGCTGTTCCATAACGAAAAATTCACTCATATAAAAAAAAACAAAACATTTTTCAATGTAGCATATAGAAAAATTGTTAAATCGCGCTATAAAATTAAAAATCTGTATGTTTATTTTAAAAGGGCAAATGGTAATTTGAAGTTTTTAAATGTTTATAGATATTATTACTAAACACTCAGAAAAAAGATATGTTTGAACCAAATGTATACCATTTTTTTATATTTACCCAATTTTTTGGTTAGTTCAAACAAAATTTGTTTAATTCAAATAAATATTTATATTTGATCTAAATAACTGTTTGGTTTATTTTAATAAATTTTTTGAACAAAGAAAAAATTTGATTGAGCTAAATAAACGTTTGGTTTATGCAACCAAATGTTTGGTTAACTGTATATCAATGCATTTATTTTGTTGATTTAACCAAAATTTGATTTCAAACGAATTTTTTTCTGAGTGAAGGAGTACTTGTTTGTTTACTCTCTAAATCTGAATTAGTCGCACTTTTGACTAATTTAAATGCACTGATTCGTTTATTATATGAATTAGTATCCGTTTTGACTAATTTTCAGTCAAAAATTACTCTCTAAATCTGTATCAGTAGAAATTTTACTAATTCAATCAGTACTTTTCATTTTAACTTTTTGAAATTTACTAATATAATTAGTGAATATGCAAGCAATAGAAAATAACTTATGTATAAATCAGTAATTTGTATACAACATAACCTTTAAAATTAACTATTAAATCAGTAGATTTTGTAGCCGCCGCCATATATTTTTATTACTGATTCAATCAGTAATTGATATTTTACTAATTGAATCAGTAAATTTCTACTAATTGTCAGTTGCGCAATTCTCGCTATGGCAATTGGTAGATTTCTACTTCTAATCAGTAAAATATGACTGATTCAGATTTAGAGAGTACTATAATTGTTAATAGGGAACTTCTAATTGTTAGTAGAAAACTATTAATTCATTTATTAAAGTTTACTAATTCAAATAGTAGCCTTACTAAATGAATTAGTAGTTTCTTGCTAACAATTAGAAATTCTGTACTAACAAAATATTAGTAGTTTTGTACTATAACAATATTCGTAGTTCATACACAAATTGTTAGTATTCTAACAATTTGTAGTTCTGTACTATCAATTAGTCATTTTTGACTAAAAATTAGTCAAAACGGTTACTAATTCAATTAATGAACAAAACGGCGCAGTTATAATTTAGAGAGTAAACAAACTTTCACTAAACACTTAAAATTTTTATATAAACTGTTTCTCATAATTAATTCCGAATTTCTGTATACAAAGAAAAATTTTTTTTGATCTACACCAATATGTCTGTTTATAATATATTATAAATTAATATCTCTAGTGGATAAATGATTATTAAGGTCATAATAAACAGCAAGAAAATGGAGAAAAATTCCAAAAAACCGGTATCTTCGAGGCTCGTTTTCAGCGTAGTAAAAGCCGGTTTCGATGTCATTGACTTTATTTTTGTTTCAAAACCTTTTTTCCTAATATGTATTTTCAAAAGTAATGCTTTTAATCTCTGTACAGATTTTAAATTCAATTAAGTTTTTTTTTTTTATTTAATAAGTGAACAAATTAACTTATTTTGCTTATTAATAATGTGTTTTTCCTTTTAAAACAAAAAAAAAAAAGAAAAGAAAAGACACACACGTGTAGAGCTGATGTAAATATTTTTGTTTATATCATTATAGTATTGCTTAATGCAGATTTCAATATGTCTTCGTTACTACATAGTTAGTAATACGTAAACCATAAATATTTGAAAATAATTTTTATTTTACAAATCTTAAAAGATTTTAATAACTTTTGTTATTTTTTTTCTGTTCTGCAAAAAATAGTAGATATTTTACGTATAAAGAATTTCTTTAAAATTTTAAGACAAAATTCAAAATCTGTATACCCTCAAGGGAACGTATATATTCATCTTGGAGATAAACATCCATCACATTAATAAAAACCTGGTTTACAAAATAATAAATCATTTATGATGATTATATGGAACATAGTCGTATCATTATCGGGATTTGTCTATATCGTTCGTATAATGATTAATATTTGTGTCTTTTAGGTCACATGATTTCACGCATGTGTAATAACTAAAATAATTTTTTTTTCGTAATTCTATAACTGTTTTTGTTTTTTGAAACCCTATGTTCATTTTTGATTCTGACCTCATAATTAATTTTAAAAAAAATTGGAAAATTCAGTGAATGTTATTTTATTAGCCACGCTGAGTATATTTTTTTTTTCATGATGAAAATATTTATAGTATCATTTCACGTGATATAATACTGTATACCAACTTATATTCGTGTGTGGTCATTATGTCATCAAAAAATTGTATGAAATTTGAAACTAAATAACAGCAACATTGTTGCTGAAGCGTTAATGATTCAAGCAGTCAAGTGTCAATGTTGGTATCCGCATACAAATGTGGCGCAACGCCTGCCACTATTTTTACATACTGCGTCGTCGTGGGTCATAATTTGGGGCATCAGAAAAGCACTGGGAATAGATATTTCTACTGTAACACTATAGTATTCAGGGTCGAATTCGTTCATTATCAAAGTTATATTGCAATGACTTTTTTTTTCAAATGAAAATCTATGTTCTCTTTTAGAGGACAGAAAATAATCATAAAGAATTTTTACAGCAATCATTATTGTTACAATAGATAATGCTTTTTTTTTTTGATTATGTTATAAATTCTTAATTTCGTTCTCAATTTCGTCAGTTATTAGAATTACTATAACAATGATGAGTAAATTATGCTTTAAACCATTGAATTTTTCGTAACACACTGTGTATTGTGTTATTGACACTTGTAATATATAACTATATGAAACAGGTGCATAGAATTTCAGTAAATTTTCCACAGTGTATGTTAAAATATCAAATCAGTAATTTAAAAGAAATTTTTAATTAATTTAAAAAAAATTTAATTTCTTAAAATTACAGTAAAATTTATAAAAAATTTTATAGGTAAAAAGTTGTGTTTTCAAAATTGCCTGTTCTTCACTGAATTTCTGCATTTGTCGGTTATGCTCTTCTCGAGTCAAGTTGTCAGTTCAGTCTGGCTCATCTTTTAACTGTATACAGTCCCACTGCATCTTGTCTGTAATTGGCCAAAGTGGGAGTTCTTTTTTTATCAATTTTTCAGCTAGAAATAAAAATTTCTTGTTCCCAATTAAAAATAGTGTTCTTTTTATATAGAAAAATGTAGTATTTGTTTCTTATAAATTTTTTCCAACTTTACTGTAAATTGCATTTAAGTTTAATTTTTCCAAGTGTATAGGTATTTATATATAAATTTTTACAAAATCTAAAAAACACGAAGCCATTAATGCTTTTTAAATCTTATATCTTAATCACCAGTTTCAAAAGATGCTATACCAGTTGAATATTAATATCCACTTTGCATGACGAAGATTACTGACAATGTGATCTCATATATACGAGTTCCTTTTACATTTATACAACACGAAGATTCGTAATATAAAAGAGAATCTTGGAATAATTAGATGAATATTATTTATTTTCTGGAAAAGGCGCGTCTCCCTAATGCTACTTTTAATCACTTTTCTAATAATAATGTTTTGTCACCATATAACAAAGGATAAATTTTTCTCATATAAAAAAGATATTTGTAGATTAAAAAATTTTTCTTGTAATGTCATTCAAAGTTGGACTATTTTAAAGAGTTAATGGAAAGATTTTCCTTGTCAGTAAACCTGTAAGTCCGTTAGAATTGCAAGAGATTGACCGCGAGCAGTTGAGCAAGTTGAAACATACTTTTCACGTTATTTTTACAGCAGACGGCATTTGAGTTGTACTACTGCATCTTCCAGCATCTCCTTCTCTCTTTTCTTTTTTTTCTCTCTCTCTTTTTTTTTGCTCCTTTTTCATCCCGATCTGCTTCTTGAAGGTGCTTCACCACTCCCCGTCGCTCTTTATATACCGATAACCTGAAGTCATCCCGTTCCACCTACTTTGGAGCCGGTACCAAGACCCGTGAAAGTTTTTCTTGCCACTTTTCTCAGACCGATACCTTGCGGTTTGTACGCAAAGATGCGAATCTACCGGTTCAAGAGTACATCAGATTTTTCTTACTGATAAAAAGACAACTTATAATGAAAGAAAAAAAATTTTTTTTTTTTTTATTTTTAATTAATGAATTATAACAAGATTTTTCGATAATTACTATTATCGTATCTTTCCTTATATATATATTTTTTAATATGTATATATCGTTGCTTTCATTTTTTTTTTTTAATTATGATGAAAGATTTGTCCTACTTAAAAATTTTTATTTTATATGAAGGCAAAATATGTTTCGAAATTTTCAGGTGCATTTCTAATATTGAATTTCTATATAATTCGTGGAAAAGGAGAAAATAAAATTTCAAATAAATAGAAAATAATTATTATAGAAACGTAAAAATGGAAGTAGTTTTTGATATTACAAAAGAAATATTTTATTTGCATTTATTAGTGACAAAATTTATTTGAATCAAATAAAAATACATATATAGTAAAGAATTTGAACTAAATAAAATTTGAAACAAATATTTATTTGACTCTTGAGACAAATTCATTTCTCCGTGTAAATTGAAAAAAAATATTTTACTTACAACCTTCTATAGAATTGAATAATAATAATTTTAGAATTTGTAAATTAATATTAATACACATAAGAAGCCATTAGTTTTGTTCCATATTCATTCATATTTTGACAAACGTATAATTGATGACAAAAAAAAACCAAATAATTCCATCGAGTCATATTTGTTAAGAAGTCTCTTATCTAAATCTAATGCGCAATAAACGTATAGACTTTTTAATCACAGAGACATTATTCCCGTTTATCAAATTATCATTATTAAACAAAA